ATGAGTTTAACTGCTATTCTAAATTTGCATTCTAAATGGTGTACTTGCTTCGCAGGAAATCATTTATCTGAAAAAAAAAATTTTAATAATGATTTCTTGTATCATTTTCAAAAGTGAATCGATGAAAAATATTTTCATCATCAACAACAATACTTAGACATAGATTGTTGTTGATAATAAAAGGATTTGCCACCGGCTAATTTTTCCAAGTGATAGAAACCGTCATTTTTAAGAAAAATTTCTTAAATCATTAATTTTCTAAGAAACAAACGTGGTACTTTTCTTTCCTTATTTCTTTATAATCCAGGAGCACAAGCTAGACACCCAATTACCCGTTATAAATTTTGACGAGAAAGTAAAAAATTACTTTTCGCTTGAATTTAATTCTAACAAACAAGCTTTATTATATCAAATTGCCACAACCCAATTACCCAATGAGAAATTCAAAAGCTGACCTAATAAGAAAGCTACCGATGAAATATTAGCTACGATGCGATCCAAAAGTTCATCGTCGCTCCATAGCGAACGGTTAAAATCGTATCACGTCGAAAATCCACGAGAGTGAAATCTCACGTGTCGAAACGAAAATATCTAAGTTTGTGGATTGCAAGACTCCTCGTATATTCCCAAATAAATACACGATAGTTTCCCTTGTAGATCGAAATGAGGATGGGGTACGTTTGACTGTGCAGTCGTAGATCCGCCGTGTTTGGAGGGCACAGAAAGCTGATGGCGGTGGGGTCGCTGTCGTCCTCTGTGGGGTTCTAAGACTTCATGGCGGAGTTGGTCCAGAGCCAACTGTTTTGCGTCCCTTCGAGTCATTGCTTTTTTCCACCTTCCTTTGTTCTTTAGCCAAAGTCGAGGTGATTCATCTCTATTTTTTTTCAATAAATTTATGTCACAGTTTAGGCAATACGAATGCACAAGGTATCATCTGGAATGATCAATGAAATAAAATAAAATAGGTGTATAGTTTACATATTGAAACATTTTCTATCTTTTTTTTCACAAAAGGCGTAAAAAAAGCTTTCATAAGTAGCCTTATACGATCTTTTACTTTGATGATCATCGAGAGAGTAGGTTGTTAAAATCTTCAAAGCGTAAGTGGGACAGGCCCGATCGTGCAAAGTTTTCTCTCGTACTGTAGATATATGCTCTTATTTTCCTTTACATGTTTGAACATCCAAATTCACGTTTTTTTTTATTTTAGGGCATGTATCTAAAAGACAACCGTCATATGAACTTGATTTACACTTGGCAGTATGGTACAGGATATGTGTGCAGAGAGCAGGGTAGATAGGGACATTGAAAGAATTCGGAAAAAGATGGTAATTAGATGAAAGGACCGGGGTGATGTTTAAACTATCACATCGATGTTAAGAAAGCGTCAATGAAGAGCATTTTGAGGGAATGTTTTAATTAAATCAATAAGCGAAAAGTGTCTCTAGTAATCATGCACAGATATGCAAAGCAGAAGCAGTCTGGAGAAATTGGAGCGAGAGATTTCCTATCAAGGAAATGAGAGAGAGGGACGATAGTCGAAAGCAAAACGTCGAGAAGCTCGATGCTCGACGGTGTACCGAGGTGAAAGCATATGGGTAGCAATCTCGAATTCAAATGGCATCATGTAAATTTCCGCCCTCTATTCAATTCCGTCGTACCGAAACGCATCATTGCTTTCTCGATTCGTACCCATGAACTAACGGATCACCATTTTGTGTTCTTTTCTTTTCCTCCTCCTGAGTCCGTGCAAGGTCATGAATGAACGGGCACCTTCCTACGAGTCTCCTGGGGAAGGGATTTGATCAAATTAAATTCGAAGGGAAGGAGTTCAATGATGAGGAGGCTGTGTAGCCCGTTCATTAATTGTCGGAGGTCACTCATCTTCTAAATGCAAGCTGCTGTGCCATTACCTTCTTGCTCCGCATCAGCCATTCTTCGATCCGTCACGGCTCCTAGAGCATGCAGCGATCGACCAACCGTTCTCAGTACTTCACCGACAGTCTGCACTCTGCGCAGTGCTTCTGTTGAACTAGATCAGCTCGTATGGCGGATGCGACTGATTGAACACTACTATTTGGGAATTATAGTATCCAGGCATTTATGACGGGAAATTATCAAAAAAATTATAAATCTATTGTAATTTTTTATTTAGTCCTAAACATTTTTCATTGTCAATTGAATTATAAACCTTTTTACATTTATGTTAATTCAGTCCATCCGATCAATTTTGATCGAAAATCGCTGACATAGATGCCAGCCATCCTACGTGGCGTGACTGGTGCTAACGTAGATAATTTTTAATAATATTTATATTTTTTTCAATTATTTTATTTTTTGTTTATTTTTTGTTTTTCTTTCTTTTCCTCGTCTTTCTTTTTTTGTCTTCCGATCCCTTCTTCCTCTGGCCGGCGAGGGTGAGTCTCGCTGTGGATGGGAGAGGCTTGCCCTTGCCAGTTGACCTTGCTGACCGACCAGAGGAAAAAGGGAAGAAAAAGAAAGAAAGAGAAAGAAAAGAAAAAAAAGGAAAAAAAATTCTAAAAATATTAAAAATTATCCACGTCAGCACCAGCCACTTCATGTAGAACTGCCAGTGTCCATGTTAGCGATTTCCGACTAAAATTGGCCGGATGGACTGAATTGGCACAAATGCATGAAGTTTACGACTCAATTGGCAAAGAAAAGGGTTTAGGACTAATTGACACAAGTGCAATAAGTTTATGATTTTTTTGGTAATTTTCCCCATTTATAACTGTAAATTACGCAATTTCCCGCTACTTGAGTTTTCAGCTCGTGTGAGATTAGAGAGTATGATGATCTCGATGTTCACCTATATTGGTGGAATTCCTCGTCGTCAAAGTTTGTGACATCAATTGATACTTAGGCTCCATTTGTTTTGCACAAAATGAATGATTTGGAAGATATTTTCCTAAAAATAATTGCTTGCATTGCTTGAAATAATTAGTCAAATGAAAAATATTTCATTATCAACTATAGTATATGTCTAAATATTTTTGTGGACGATGAAATTTTTTTCGTTTCTTTTTTTTTTTTTGGTAAGAAATACATACAATTATTCTCGGGAAAATTTTTTTCAAATCATTTTTTTTTTTTGCAAAACAAATACACCCTTAAATCTATTTTGTTAGTATTTTCATTAAAGCGCACTTCTACTTTATTTTGTGTTCATGCAATAGTAGAGATAAAAGGTTTGATTCCCCCACATTATAGATCCTTCATTTCAACATTAAGTAAATCAATTTTGTAAAATATTTTTTATATCCCAACATTATAAATTCATAACAGGAAAACCCACTGTGCTATATATATTCTTTTCCAAAAAAGGAATTTCCTAAGGTGCTCTAGAGCATCATGCTCCATAAATATATGGTCATATATGTCTTCATTTCTATTGGGAAGAAATTTTCTCGTTACAATCTCTGATTGGAAGGTTTTTCCAAAAAAAATTTACAAATTAAAAGCATCTCTCTCTCTCCTACTAAACACAAGCCTCCCTAGGAGTCGTCCTTGCTGCCACCACCAAAGGTGTGAAACCGCCTATAATATCGCCTTTCTCTATGGAGGTGGTCGGAGATGGAGGGCTGTCCCCGGCGGCGGCGGCGTCGTCGACCACACTGTGACAATGGATGGTGCTATGTACACTAGAGGGAGAGTAAACAGAAGAAAAGAGGAGATGGGGATGTGGGCTGGTGTGTGGTGTAAGGGTTGGGTTTTGACTATGTCTAATTTTCCATGTTAAGTTTATTAATGGATTGCATTCTCTTACCAAAAGTTAGAATAGAGGAGAAGTCCTCCAATCAAGGATGAGACGAAAATAAAGCTCACAAACATAAGTTGTGCTAATGATTTAAGTAAAGTATCAATCAAGACATTTCTACAATCTCTCGAGAGATTAATTTTCCATATTAACTTATTGTAATCGCTTACAATTGTCGTGAATTTCATACAAAACATTAGGCCTAATACAGAAAAAAACCTCAAATTTAGCTTTTGTCCTATTTCTACCTTTTGTCTTATAAAAATTCTCCAACTTTAGATCATGTCCCAATTCTACCCTAAACTTTTTTTGTCTCATAAAAAACCCTCAACTTTGGGTTCATTACCAATTTTACCCTAAACTTTTTTTATCTCATAAAAAAATTCCAATTTTAGGTCAAGTTTCAATTTCACACTAATTTTTTTGTTTCATAAAGATCTCCATTAACCTTCCGTCAAAATCGCCCTCGGGATTTTGCGCTTATCAATCTCTCATGCTTGGGAATGTTCCATCTCTCGCGGTCGGAGAGTGCTTGGGATACTCAAACAGCTCTTGCTTGAGATATTTATATCTCTTGGTTGTCAACGAGAAATTTTGGACGGAGAGTTAATGGAGTCAGATTTGTGACTCAAGTAAAATTTTGTGATTTTTTATGAGACTGTAAAAATTTACAATAAAATTGAGACTGGACGGTAAAATTAGGACAAGATCAAAAGTTTGAGGTTTTTCATGGGGCAAATAAAAGCTTAGGGTAAAATTGGGATAAGACCTAAAGTTGAGGGTTTTTTATGGGACAAAAAAAAGTTTAGGATAGAATTGGGACATGACCTAAAGTTAAAAGTTTTTTATGAGATAAAAAGTAAAAATGGGACAAAAGTTAAAGATTGAGATTTTTTTTGGTATTAAGCCCAAAATATTACAATGCTCCGAAAACTACAAAGGATCTTTTTAAAGAGACCGCCGTGAGCTATATTTTTGTGTGCCCAGAATAACCTATCTTCCAAAAGAGGTTCGTACAAAGATCATAAAAGCTACCTAGGCCTAAGATTTTTCCTTCTGCCAATGGAAACCGGATTTCATAAGTACCACAGCTGTGTGGCCAGCTGCCACACTCGATCTGTAGTAGCACGTCGGTCGTGTGTAGAAAGTACTGCATTACACTACAGATTACCTCTTTCCAAAATTTACATTCATCTCTCTCGCCTATATATATATATATCTCCTCCCTCTTCACTTTGTCATTCTATCTCTCTCTCTCTCTCTCTCTCTCTCTCTCTCTCTCTCAAGATGGTGCAATCAAAGAAGTTCAGAGGAGTCAGACAACGTCACTGGGGCTCTTGGGTCTCCGAAATCCGCCACCCCTTGCTGTAAGAATCCCCTTTTGCTCATCACCAATTCAAGAACGCCGATGTTTTGTCGATATCTGGACCTTGTGGCTCAATTACTCTTACCCATCTGTTATTACAGGAAAAGGCGAGTCTGGCTTGGCACGTTCGATACGGCCGAGGAAGCGGCCCGCGCCTACGACCAGGCTGCCGTCCTCATGAGCGGCCGCAACGCCAAGACCAACTTCCCCATGCCCCAGGCCCCGCCTGCTGCCGACCCTACGTCGCCCCCCTCCGCCGCCGCCGCCGCCGCCGCCGCCGCCTCCCCGCCAATAAAGGGCCTCTCGGAGGTCCTGCACGCGAAGCTCCGGAAATGCAGCAGGCAGCAGACGGCGTCACTGACGTGCCTGAGACTCGACACCGAGAGCTCCGACATCGGCGTGTGGCAGAAGCGGGCGGGCCAGAGGCCGGACTCCAATTGGGTCATGACCGTCCAGCTCGGAGCCAAGAAGCCGAAGGGCAACGAGGCGAATTCCGACGATCCCGAGGGCGTCGCGTCGTACTCGGAACGAAGAGGGAGCAATGATATGGAGGAAGAGCAGAGAATCGCATTGCAGATGATTGAGGAGCTCCTCAACAGTGATTCACATGAGGGTGAGGATTGCTTATCTATCTCTAGTCGCCAAGAGTGAAAAAAAAAAGATACGAAAAATTAAGTACTTATATATATATTATATACATATATATACTACTTAAGATTTTTATTTCATCCATCGTTAAATTTGCTCGCCAAATAATAAATAACGCGAGCATATAATACTAAACTCGCGAGCATATAAGTACGGCTCGCAGAAAGGATAGTCTCATAATTGCGGTGGATGGAATAAAAATCCCATAGTTTCATTATTCATGTAAGATGACAATATGACTTTGTACTGTAAAACTTACCTTAATGCTGGATAATGTGCGGAAAAAGGTGACGCACAACGCCATGGAAGCAAGCAGGAAGTCTGTTGTTTATGTGTATCTCGATCATGATTGCTGATCATGATGTATCGATGTTCAGCGAATTCTAAGTCCCGTAATACGAAACGAAGTTTGCTCATGTACATGATGTGTTATTCGAGTTAGGGTTACGAAATCCACGTGAAAAAAAGATTTCCTTAATTTACCTATCGAACGGGAGAAACAGATGATTGGTCTGGAATTATCAATCATCAAATCATGTACGTCCTTTTATTAAACGCATGAGAAAAATTACTAGAATGCTACGTTTTTTGAGATTTCTTGGATATAGTAGTTGCTGAATAAAAGCTTTATAACAAGCACTAAATGCTCTGTTTGGGATAATTTCTTTTAATAATCTGTCACTCCCTCTCACCCACCATTTAAAAAGCATGTGATCCAATTTATAGATTTTATTTATATTTGTGCAGTTTGAACCCAAAAAAAAATCGATTTAAAATATTTTTCCCTAGATATTACTACGTGGGAATATCAGGACCAGGCAAATATATATATACAGGAATTTCCAATTTCTCCTGTCTTTTCACGACATCAATGTCCAGGCTATACATGTTCCAAAGGTCTCGAGAGTACAAAATAACAAGAGTTTTTTTTCCTTTATTAGCCCCTTATATGAGGAAATAGTTATAATTCGAGTCATTTTACTTTTAGCAAGTTTATGTTTGTATCCTTGAATTTTATTTTAAGGGGAAAAAAAAATAATTTAGCATCATCACTTTTTTACCTCGAGATCAGTTTTTATCCCGAACGTTAGAATTTAGCCTCGCAAAGTTGAAAGACTCAATTTTATCGTTCATTCAAATATTAGCGTTAAATTCCAAATTCTTGAAAAGCCAACCATCGTAAACCGGAACTTGTTTCCATCCACCGTGCCCGCTGCCGTTGGCAATCGCTCCGCCACCTCCAGTTGTCATCTCTACCTTCATCGCCTTCCACCTCTCTCTCTCTCTCTCTCTCTCTCTCTCTCTCTCTGCCGCCATGGATTACCTCAAATTGAGCTTGTTCATGGCTACTTTAGGTTTCATATCCAGGTCGTCACAAAGAGAGAGAGAGAGAGGTATGAGCAACGGTAGAGATGGAGGGGCTTGTCGACAACGGCAAGCGGGGGTGGTGCGACGATGGCAACTAGGGTAGGTGGCTGGGTTAGGATTAGAATTGACTAGCGGGACTTTGGGATGGTGAGGAATTTAGTATATTGATAGAGATGTTTGGGAGAAAAATAACCACTTTGTAAATAAACCCACAATGCAACGATGTCTTGAGCAAATCAGCATCGTAAGCTCCGTTTGTTTAGCGAAAAATGAATAATTTAAAAAATATTTTCCTAAAAGCGATCACTTGTATGGCTTGAAATAATTAGCCAATGAAAAATGTGTTCATTATCGACAAGAATTTAAGTGTAAATATTTTCGTGCACTATAAAAATATTTTTCGTTCATTTATTTTTTGCAAGCGATTATTTTTAAAAAAATATTTTTCAAATTATTCATTTTTTGCGAAACAAATGGAGCCTTAGATTAAAATTCACGATGCCATGAAAAGAATGTGAGCACATTCAAGACCAAAGATTAAACACCATTGGCCCGTAAGAAGCAACCTCATCTATGTAAAAACACAAATGCAGGTGCCTCTTGGTACACAAATGATCGAATTAGATATCCAAAGACTTAGTGCAAGATCCAGCAGAAACGTAACATGGAAATGTGTCACCTTCTATAAAATTCGAAAATTGTAATTTCTCGCTCGTTGCGAAATAAGGACAAGCGAAATAATAAATATGAGGATAGCCATTTGCGCGATTCCGTCCACAGTGCGGTCTTATAGCTACGAGGAAATATGGGCGAAACTTACTAAGAAAATCAAGGGACCCCCACATGACCAAATGAAGGAAGAAGTTCTTTACACTATTAAAGTGTATGATGAATTGTAAATTGAGAGAGAAAGAGAGAGAATTCAATGTTCATGAAGGACCACAATGAAACCACATAGCCAAAATTGGTAAAGCGAAAACGATCATTTATATCATGTTTATACATATAAATGAAAGATGCATCTTTCGATCAACTACCCGAACGGGAGCAATTCATTTAAAGTTGTTGTGTAGTGGCCCGTAGGATCGTGATTCAATCACATGCAAAACAAACAAGCATTGTAAATCGATAGGGCACCTATTTTTAGAGGGGTGGATCATGATCTCGAGACTAACGAGTTAAGTAGCAAATGCGACCATGATTCTATCCGCTATCTGTGTGTATAATGAAAGCTATTGCAAATGGCTTAAATTTGGAGCTTTAGTGCTACCTTCATTTTTTTGTTATCATTTCCCTCAATTGACAATTAATGTTAGAGATTTTAGGGCTGTTCTCTCCCACCAAGTTATCATTCATTCATTCATTCACTCTCTCTCTCTCTCTCCATTAAGTATGTCACTATTCAATTGTTCTTTTTTATAACATGGGGTAACTAAACTGTCCAACTCGACTAATCCTCGTGGATACACGCAAATTGCCTCATGCACTATATGGTGTAAGGCCCCACATGACATTGTGATTTGAATACAGAATCAACTAGATTTAAATTAGGCGATTATATTTTGAGCAAAAACTCTTTCTACGGTTTCATATCGTCACTCTAACTAATCATTCACTCTTACATTTGCCTTAGCAAGTAAAAATCATCTTGTAGATTGACCACACATAGTGTAGCACTTTTAACTAAAATCACTACAACAAAGTCTAGTCTATGGTAACGGAGAACTTCGTCACAGTACATCATAAATCTGTTGCAGAAGTGATGGTAACAAAAATTTTCGCCACGAAAAACTCGATATGTTAGCCCATGGTGACAAAATTATAAGTTTCGTCGTTGTAGACGCCATCTACGTTAAGCGCCTAAGGCGGCAAATAAAACTTCGTTGTGCTTGGTGATCTATGGCGGCGAAATTGGGTTTGTGACCTTTGTAGCACCTAAGTCGATGAAGACCAAATCATATGTTGGTCGCAGTCGGTTGTGTAACAGCATCGAAACACAAATTTTGTCATCATTACTCCACCCAAGTGCGACAAACTTTTTTGTTTCATCTTTTGAGGTCAGTTCCTATCTGCTCGGATGTAACGAAACTAATTTTTTTGTCAATGCAACGACAGCGACGGAATCATAATCTTGTCGCAGTTTGTCGTGCAATAGCGACGCGACCATTGCTTTGTCGCAATTGGTCGTGCAATGGGGACGAAACACAAATTCCATGGCCATGGCTTGGTCTATGGCGACGAAGCGATTATCTTTAGCGACCTAGTTATTTTCGTCTCCGTAGCCCTATTTTCTTGTAGCGTTTATTTAAGGTCACGTTGATTTCCTGGCCTAACACACAATTGATTAATAACAAAGTGACCCGAACATTTTACAATGTTAACTTACTAAAATAACAAAGCTGTTTGGTTTGTAGGCCAGCATGCATGGCCCCTAGTTACATCCCGACCACTCCTATTTTACTCTAACCACTCCCAATTAATGCATTGTGGAAAGGGTCAAAAACGCAAGTATGTCGTCGATGAGACATGCGCACCCGCATTTCGATTACCCATCTTCATTCCGTATGACTATTTGGTGCATCCCATCAATATTAAAGTCAATATAAATTGAGAGAGAGAGAGAGAGAGAGAGATGTCTCTGAGGTTTGATATACGCAACCTCGTCGCTAGAAAGGAGTGATGGAAAGCAATGGATTATGAAGTCGGCCTGTCACAGACGGGTTTGTGTCGACGTAAAGAGATATTTGCCACATATCTCACAGGCACTTTGATAGCTGACCAGTCATATTTATTATAAGAGGATTTGAACTGTTTAATTTGTTCAAACGGGTGCCCCCTCCCACCAGAGATCAAATTCAATCATAGTTTTAGGAAATAGAAGTGTTTGGAAAAGATAACGTGGACGTCAAAATATTTGCTGCATGATCTACTGTCGTCTATGAATTATCGTCCGTACATATAGTCCACGAAAATATTTATAAAGGCGAGGGCTGCCCTCGCCGGAGAAGAAAGAAAAAAAAAGGAAAAAAAAACAGAAAAAGGAAAATGACGAAAATGCTCATGGGTCAAAGTATTGTGGGGTAAATGTATCACGGGTGGCATAGTTTGGGGTTTTTCGTGCCACAAAAAAAAGTTCAGTGTAAATGTGTCACAAATGGCATAGTTTGGGGTTTTTTATGGCATTTTCCCTAATAATTATCAATATTTATTTTTGAGAAACTGGCATCTTGTAAATTAAATAACTAATAATTTCGTCAATACAAAAATTTATATTGCACATAAAATGTTTAATATTTGCTGCAATTGGGACATTCAACCTATTTATGCTTTCAAAAGGGTAAGCTTTTGGATTTTCTCTTAATTGCCTAGGATATTAAAAATCGAAAAATTTAATAAAAGCCACCTAGAAGCTTACATGACAACAAGTGTTCCTAATATGTAAATAAGATGCAAAGTGATCCTCTCTAGGGAAAAATGTTTGCATATTATAAGGGTTAGGGAAAAACCTCATTAAAGGCTTCACCAGATTTGTCTAGCCCCGCATAGTTTTCATATTTTTTAATCCCCGATGGACGAGCCTAGGTAACATTTTAAGCTAATCCGAAGGCCTAGCTCAAGCCCGTCGCATGATTTGGAAAAAAAAATTCTTAAAATTGAGTGTTTATATCGCTTAAAAAATTGAATGAATGAAAAAAAAAATTTCATCGTCCATGCAAATATTCAATATAAATTATCATCAATAATGAAAACATTTTCATTGGCTAAATTTTAAGCGATACAATCGATCATTTTTTAGAAAATATTTTTTAAATTATTCATTTTTCGTAAAACAAAAGAAGCCGATTAAAAAAAATGCTAAGATCCATCAAGTTCATCAGTGTGTAGTTTAGCCTCTGATGCGTCAGGTTCCATGTGAGTTCTATAACATCGTTGCAGACGGTGCATTAGATAAATGCATGTCTCCTAAGT